TATTCCTTACAAGGATATGTTCTACTGGCTGACACAATTCTGATTATTCTACTTACACAATTCAAAGAAACTAAAACTTCTTTAAATATGTTCTTAATATTAATATTAAAACTACATTGAATATGTTCTTAATATTGATCATTTACTTTGAATTTCCTTGAACATTTTCATTATTTTTCAATAATTCAATAATTGTACAATAACAAATAAAATATTGACAATTTCAATACGTGAAATTTACAATACAAGATATATCTGATTCTCCTAAACCGTGTCAAATCAGAATCACCTGAAATAACACACAAGGTGGGCCAAAAGTTTCTTCCCACCTATTTTCGTTAATAAAGAAAAAACTAATTCCGTCAATTTTAAATTAAATTTTTATTTCAGCGTCAAGTGATTTTATATGCACTACCTTGATCATTGTATTGTATTCAAAATCAGGTTTCGTGTTCCTGGTCTGCCTGGGCAAAAGAGACAACGTCGGAGCACTGAAAAGCGTGGTCCTGATGATGACATTGCTCATCCAGTTGTACCTTTACGCCTACGCAGGCGACGCTCTCGAGTCTCGAACCGAAGAAATCGCGCAAGCCGTCTATCAATCGCTCTGGTATCAATCACGAGGCCGCGTGGCAAGGGATCTAGTGTTGATAATCAACCGTGGAAACTTGTCGTACCATTTGACAGCTGGGAAATTCCTCTCGATGAACATATTCACTTTCAAAGAAATACTAAAGACGTCCGCCTCCTATCTGTCCGTTCTGAAAGTAATGATGGACACGTGAAAACCGTTCGATCGCGAACGTCGAATGTACCACTCTCGGTATATATATATATATATATATCTCGTGCAACAAAGGCGATATTACTGTCACTCGACGAGGAACAGCAACGAAATATTCTCTTGCATAAGACTCAAAACTTTCACAAACGTACCCACGCACGGAGCATGCTATAATGTATATTAAATAAGCGTTTACAATCGTTTGGATCAATGTATGTGCGAATAAAGAAGACATTTTCCAGAGTGCAATTCTCGAGGAACTCCGGCCACGATCGTACCTTTTTGCTTGCACTCGAAATAATCGACGGCAATTTAGACGTTCCAGTTTCTCCGCGTTCCGTAAGAAAAAGTATCTCCTTGCTATAAGAAAATGAGTCTTGTTGTTCGCCTCTTCATTAAAGTTGAATATTCTTTGAAAACATCGAGTTTTCGAAACGAAACGGTCCGATTAACAATTTATCAGAGAAGTAGAATACTCTTTCGAAAACGCGGATCGAATTTTCGAAACGGATAATCTAGCTTAACAATTTATCGTGAAAGTTGAAGACACGAACCGATACCTTCAGACAGGCAATGCAGCATTACTCGCGTGCAAGTATGACAAATAAAGCATACTTACACACGAAGTAACCCCCACTACTGGGACTTTCTTGATAACAGTTGACGTAGAAATGATAAGCGACTATGGTTGAATAAAAGATGAATGGAAGGAACAGAAGTGCAATTGGTTGTTACGCGGGAAGAAAGGAAGGGAAAGTATTCGCGATCACACGCGGAATCGTTGGTCGATCTTCGTCTTACGAAGATGAAGACGTCGTCGTTGAATTTTGCTTATGCGATGACTCCGTTGAAGATCCTGTCGTGGCCTGTGGGTACCTGGCCCCTTCAAAATTACAATACCTTCTCCTTTATACGTGCCATAATTGCGCTTGTGTTTATGGTATGAAACTCTTGCCGTTGTGTTGTGTTTCGCGAAATTAACACGTTCGCTACGCATACATTATCGCTCATATCTATTTAAGTAGATATTTCTTTCTGTAGATAAATGTTAGTAAGTGTAAATTAACGAAAGATCAAGTTAAACGCGACTCTTTTCTTTTTTTTTTCAATTTATTTTTTTTTTT